AAAGGAAGGTTTTAGACTCGGAGGAAAGGACAAAGGATATTCCCAGCAACAGTTCACTTAATGCCATGCCACATGACATCTTGCCGAAAAAGAAAGTCAGCAGAAAGTCAAAGTCGAACACAGATACCGGTGAAGCTCAGTTAGACTCTGAGGAAAGGCACAAACAGCATAAGCACGTAGCTATGCCCGTCCATAAACCGAACCTTGCGCCTGCTGGCCCTGACAACCCGAGTTGAACCTGAAGGTTCAGTTTAACGCCTTTTTTTTCCGAGTCATTTTCATTTTTTCTTCACTACTTGTTATTGACCATTGAAATGTGGTTTATAGTGGCATGAAGTATACAGCATATACTTTTCGGAATAGGTGAGGTGACATCTATGATCTACATGGATGGATGAACGGCTTCCATTCTATGTGAAGAGGTACAGAGATAATTAGGCCAGAGAAAATACATGTTATTGAATGCATGTCTCTTGAGACGGTATGTACTTCGAGGATAAGTTGTTGTACCTTCTCTTTTTCTCTCTTAGTTATCTTTTGTTTTAAACAGAAGAATATAAGGGCATTGTGCCTTTTATCGAGCAGCTGCTTTAGGCAGACTTAATGTTTAGACAATCATTTTTTTTTTTTTTCAACAGATATGCGTACTTTCCAATTGAAATGTCATTCTTAAAAACAACATAAACAAGGGTATGGCATTTTATAAGATAAGGTATGTTTGTGTTACAATTGTATGATGGATTGATTCGTATAATGGATAGGTCTCTTTGCACGATAATTTGTGTTTAACGAGTATTCTCGACTTTCTGGTAGTAGTAATTGTGTTGATAGTTGATACCAAATTTGTTGCCCAGAAATTTGAGGGTTATATTCATCATTTTCTATCCATGAATTGTTTTCTGTTTTTATTTTTTTTGTCTTCTAATTTCCTTTTTTGTCGACTCTTGAAGCAATTTCTTGTATGATGTATCATTGTCACTCTGCAGCAAAATCCCAAAACAAGAATAGAAGTAAGAATAATGGAAAAATTTCAAGATTTTTCCACAATTAACCACAAAAAATAAAATTGGAAAAAAATGGAGAAATGTTGATAAATGATAAGTATTCTATAAGGATTAAATTCCAATTGGGGATGTTTAATTTGAGTACAAGTAAAGAGTATCATTTAAATATAAATAAAAATATAATGTTTAAATAATATTCAAACTTTTTTTTAAAAAAAAAAAAATCATCTTCTTTTTTTTTTATAACTTTTTTTTTTTTTAATTAGCGTGTAATTACGGGATGTACGTATGTTTATATTTGTGAGAGACTGAGAGTTATTATCTAGTTATTTCACTAAACGTCTAATGTAACGTGTTTGATTTATTTATTTATTTCTTTTTGTAGTCAACTTATTCTTATTCCTTTTATTTTTTCTTAAATAAAAATAATATTACTTGTAATTACCTACATACGAAATCGAGATTGATGGGGACAACTATCGATTTGATCATATGCCCCAACAGCCCAAGTAATTAATATTTAACAAAATTCTCTTGTACATGAACCAATTATGAATATGCATTATATAATTAACACTTATATATATATCACTAAATAGATTTACAATTTATTGAAAATAAAGTCAACCTTTATGGAAAAGAACATTATCAATATTTTTTTGAGGTGCCCACGTATGACTGCCACTACAAAAAAGTTGGTATGTTCCAATCAGAGCATTGTCCCGACTAATTCGTTAGTCGATTCGGGTCGCACACCTGGCAATGGCGGGTGAGTTTCCCACCAAGATTTTTCTGCATTCACAAGGACTCAGATCCCGAAACTTTACTTAAGCGACATCAAGCTGCTTACCACTTGAGCCGACTTCTGTTGGTAATTAGCTTGTATTTTGTTTGGAAAATGAAGTACACAAACATCAAGCAGGTAATTCAGTTGTCTGATAATTTCATTACATTAGGTGGTAGGTTGCCTCTGATTAGTGCCATCTAAATTCTCATTGATAAATACATATTATATATAATTGTTGTGAAATATATAATTTGAGTAACACATAAATTTGTAGGGCTTAATTATATATAGGCGGGTTGTTTTGTTGTATTTTTCTTAAATAAAAATACTCTTATATTACGGGATATTTGAATCTTACATTTCAATGTATAACAATTCAATTTAGAAGTATGTGTATTTATTAATAAAATCGGAAAATGCTACGATCCCGTTATGAAACCATTCCGTCGGGATTTGTAACTGTTAGATCATCATGTGACCCTCGGGAATATTTGATCTCGCATTTACAAATTCAGACGTAATAATTCCGTAACGGGACGTAACATCTCCCTATATAATCATAGTTAAAAGAAAAAAAGTGCTTAATAAATATAACATATATATATATATATATATATATATATATATATATATATATATATATGAATATTATCTGTATACCAGGTAGGATTTGTTCTAATGTTACCCAACAATGATGAGTATAAGTTCACAAGGCCGACAATCTATACAGTACAATCTACTTTGTTCAGTATTTACAGGTCAATTAATTAATTTCCAAAATAACATTTATTATTATATATGTTTAAAAATAACATTTTTTATTATATATGTTTATTCGCAGATGCAGATATATATACCAATAAAATTAATTCAGATACATCATACATCGTGCAAGTATTGCCCAATAACGTCGGTATGATAAATTAATATTTGACTCTGGAACATTTAATAATGTATGAATGAATCATGATCGCTTAAATTAGTAAATAAAATTAATTTTTTTTATATAGTGATTCATATATATAACTAAAATATTTTATAATAAGTTTATTTATTTTCAGTAATGATTAAATGTATACAATGTTATGTGTGATTATATAACTTAATATTTTAAATATAATATTCATACATGTGAGTGATGATATTTTTTATTTTCATAGAAACTTTTATTTTTTTTAAAAATAAAAATTAATGTCTAAATAAGTGTTTATTTTTTAAAATTTTGTCAAAAATGAAAAAAAAATGTATATATAAAACTTTATTTTTGGAATGCCATATTTTTAGCAGTTGTTCGTGTTGTACGCAATATCACTTCAAAAATTAATATTTTTTAAATTTCAGAACATTAGAATGTAGTACTAATAATTAGGTCAAAAACCATAAAAAGATACTAATAAATGCAAGGAAAAAAAGTCTATGGTGTGAAGATCAAGAGAGCATTGACTTTGTGCCTTTGACATTGTGTCACAGTCCCATTGGGTTGCCTTAGTAATTAAACAACCATTAAAAGTTAGATTTTGTGAGGGGTTTTTAGCCGTTAGATAAACATGTAACTTCTATGTATTTACAATAACTGAATATCTAATGGCTATAAACCTTCACGGGATCATTCCGGGTGGCTTGTATTACCGGGGATTGTAGCCTTCTTCTTAAATTTAATTTAAAGAATCATTTTATGACGAGATTGTAACCTTCTCCCAAATTTAAATATAAATTATATATTAACAAGTGGCGTTGACTTTTCAACATTGCGAAAATGCTTGGATATGAATTTATTTGGTTTTGATTAGGTTTTTTGGTTTGATATGGTTAACAATGGGCATTACTATTTAGCGCCCCCTTATTACTAGTCACTGCCCCCTTGAACGTTTTTGCCCTTGAGTACTCTCTCTCTCTCTCTCTCTACTCTATCTCTCTCTACTCTTTTCCTCTCGACTTTCTACGGCTCTTTTGACCATTAAAAGAATTT